GCGAGAGGGGAAGTAGTGCCTCTTAGAGGCGCCCAGGGGGTGGTATGTAATTGTCCCAGGTCACTGGGTGGGGGCTCGAGCCGGTTTTGCATTGTGTTATTGAAACGGAACCCCTAGATACAGAACCCGGCCCTTGTTGCTGCCAACTTAGATGGGCAGAAGGGTTACACTTATCTGAAGAAATACGGCAAGTTTATCTATCCCCAGTAATTTAGCTTATTATTCTTTGAATGCTGGATGTAAAACTGCTCTATGTAAATATGTAAACCTTTCCCATAACCTAATCTGCCACACCCGGATTCTCTTGCAAGGCAACCTATTCATAATGATATATACTGCTCTGCCCTGTAGAAATAGAAGAAAAAAACAAAAACAAAATAGAGATCTACCTATGGATCTCCATCACAGGAACATTTCACTCTAGGCAAATAATACATATGTATACACTCTTCCGCTATGCAAAAGTGCCAACTACAGCAGAATACCTTTGTAGCTCATCCCTAACAATACTGATTTACATTTTTACCGTGCATTCCATGGTAAAGATCCCAAAGTGCTTTAAAAATCACTGAAGTTCTGTCATCTCCTTAGGGTAATGTAGTAATACTCAGCAATACTACAGAACAATTCGGGAAGGTAAGTGAGGCATGCCTTATTCATCTGAACCTGGGGGAATATTTAGGTAAGCAAGACATAATAACCCAAATATGAACTTGGCCAGGACATTTGGGTTAAAGACCTTAGTCTGTAAAAAGCACTATGGAACCTTTAATGACTCCAGGCAGTCAGGACTTTGGCTTTATATCTCATCTAAAAGTGGGCACTTTCAACAAAACAGTACTCAGGGCTGTTAGCTCAGTATTGATTCAGAGGGAAGATGGCCACCTACTGATTACCAATACAACTTCTTACAGTGCATGGATTTTCACTGAGGTGCTAGCCAGATCTGATATTGTTTAGTGTATGGAAATTGAAGAGATCACAGACTAATATTATATGGCTACAGGCAACTCAAGCTTTATTAGCAATGAAAAGAAGCTTTGAAGTGTCACACTACAGTTAAATTAGGACAGAATGTTGTTTTACTGTATATGCACTAGTACTTTTAATAGTCAAGGTTGCTCAGAGCACGATACAGCATTCTAGTGGCAATGTAGAACACTAAGGATGGAATGCTGGCCCCACTGAAGTCAATTGGGCTTGGATTTCACTCAGCGTGATGAACTGTAATAAGCTTTGCACACGTTCACGTGGGAAGGTGCATGCAGAGGTTAAAGGGGCTAAAAGGAAAGGAAGAGCGCTCCCACTCGTCTCCCAGGCTGGGGAAAGCAGTTTTTCTCCACAATGTCTTTTCCTACTTAGCTGGTGCAGTAGTTGGTTGTTTCAATCTACTATAACCAGTGGGTTCAAGGATTACCTCTCCCTGCAACCCAGTACACCTCTGCAAGGAATAATCCTAGTTCCACCCCTTGTCCAGGCTAGTTCTGGCAGTGGCACCAACGTCCCAAAAGAGGGTGGAAAGGAGTATGTAGGGGAGGGCACACTGCCATTTTTTATTCTTTCAAAAGGTATAGCTGGGGCAAACCTGGCCTGCATTCCTCAGTGACATCATGCCTGAGTCTAGTAATACACCTCTGGGAGACTCAGCTGTTTCAAAGCACCTCTCTGCTGCTGTCTATTGCAACCAGCAATTTAAAGCTAAAATCTGGCCATAAATATGTCATCAAACAGAACAGCCAATAGTCTTAGCTATAGTTTTTACATAATCTTTGACCTAAAGGTGTTTGGCTGAGAGCAGGAGTGTTCCCAAGGATATCAAGTATCTTAAAGTCTGACCAGCTCCAGTTCTTACACTTCTCTTTACTCTTTGACTGCAGATGTACTGTTGAATTTAAAACAGATGAGATTCCATTGCCTTATGTTGTAAACAAATCATTATTGAATCAGCATTGTATTATTTAATCTAATTATGTAACTATGCAAACAATAATAAAGCACTAAAATACTATATAAAGTTTAGAACTTTTAAACAGAACCACAAACCTTCCAGGTGGCATAATCATCATCACACAGAAAAATCCTTCCATGATGGATTACCAAAAAACATATTGGAAAATATAACAGTAATATATCAGAGAGAAAAAATCCTGAAGCTTGAAGATGTTTTCCATTACAAATTAAATACACTTCTAGGGTTATTTAAAAAAAAACCCAACAATATCAAACCTAGTTCATTAGTGAAATAGGGAAGAGATTATTAATCTCCAAAGTGTTATATTGAACTTGCTGCAAAATTGAACAGGACTCTGAAGACTTGGAAATACCCTATGGCAATTATTGATAAAGAGTGAGGAGAGTGCTACAGACAGTGCTTATGCTCCATACTGGAGGTGGGGGGGGCGGGGGCAGGGAGAAAAGAAAAGAAAGGTGGCAGCAATTAAAGTGTGTTAAAAACATGCACAACCTCTGGGAAACTAAATGCAGGAATTGTTACAGGACTGTATATTAGGTGAGATTATCTACAGGAAAATATACCTGGCTAGATTGAATGCATCATCAATCAAACCTGCTCGATTACTGACAGAGATAACCTGTGAGGAGAAAACCAGAAAAACGGAACCATTTAGGATGATAAAAGCCGTGCCACAACTCGTACAGCTCACACATCAAAGCAGATCCTAGACATGAAACTAGGAGCTTACCTCATGGTTCCTCATTAGTTGGTCAATTAACAACCTCCAATTCCTTATGTCATAGTTAACCCGAAAATAGCCAGTTTGATTGATGTTCCCTAGCAACCAGCTTGTCTCGTCTAAAGCAGCAATTCTGTGATGTTCTGGAACCAAAGAACAATGTAAGGAAAAGATTATATTTTTTTTAATTTGAAAAGGATTTAACATTGTAAAAGAACATGTTTTACTTATCTTTCCTTAAAAGGAATACTTGTGGGAGTAAAATGATTATTTCAATTTACATAATCTTCATAAATCACTAGTAAAATATTTAAAAAATAGATGAACACTAATGACACAGTTAATTTTGTGGGCTAATTATAATTTTCAACATGTGTTCTACCTCAAGTAATATAAAGGAGCAACCCAGTTTGGAACCTAATCTGCCAACTCAACCTGCACCCATGAGGATGCAGTTACAGAATTGGGACCTTGGAGAGGCATTGTTTTTCAAAATATCCTTAATTAAATACCTGGGAAATCAATTGCTCCTTCAAGACTTGGGGCCTGATTCGAATCTCCCTACCTAAATTTTACACCAGTGTAACTCTGTTGATTTAAATTGAGTTATTTCTGGTTTACACCAGTGAAAGTGAGATTAGAATCAAGCCTTTGGTTTATAGGTAATCCCTAAATAGTTTTGTGCATAATCAATGGGAGCAGGAGCAGGTCCTTTAGTCTCAGGTTTCTAACTGAAAGTGTTTTCAGCAGTTTGGTTTGTAGCCACTAGTCACTGAAAAGATCTTTTCATTTTAACCAGTTAATCTTACACTGTATGTGTTTTTATTTTCATTCCTTTTTAAACTTTCAGCAACAATTTAGGCCTAATCCCATGAACACTTTTGCAAGTACTTAACATTGTTTTCAAGGTGACTACTCATGTGCTTGAAGCATGCACATAAACATCTGCAGGACAAACACATTCCACATTCTAAATTTCTTTAACTTCAGTGAGATTGCAAGGAATGCAGGATCAAGCCCCAAGTGTCTCCAAAAGGATACCTTAATTTAGTAAATTATTTTAATTCAACTAATTATTTACTTTAAACTAGGATTTGCTCAAAAATCAAAAGGTGGGCTTTTTAAAATTATCGCCACACAAAGCACTGTAAAGTAATTTAGCTTGTATGCGCTTGATCAAAGCTACAGCCTAATATTTGTTTTCCTTATCATCTTTTTTAAAAAAGAAAACTACATGCAAACTTCTCTTGGACATAGTTCCAATGGGAAACTGATCAGTGTGCTTGAACTATATAAAACTAATGAAATTATGAAATGAAATGCAAATAAATATGGTTTGATAATTCACATATGCCATCTAATACTAGATACATTGACATACTAGACTACCTGGTTTTCACGTATGGCATTTTTTGTAAAAAGTAATTAGTGAGAAAGTAAAAAGAGATTAAAACTATGGGTGTAGGGTACATGTGACGCCTCCATCTTAACTATAATTCCAGTAGCACATGATAAGATATATGACAATAATCAAAATTTTAAGGTGCAGCAATACAGACCACAGAAACCCTGATACTACAAACACAGCGCACATATGCAACTTTATGTATGCTTGCAGTTCTGTTATGCATATGAGTTCAGTTAAATGTTTGCAGGACCAAAGCCTCCATAAATTATTACAACACAGTTCTGTCACTGATAAAGTATTTCTAATATTAACATTTTTTTAAAAACACTTTTTTGGAAGTTGCAAAGACTTATCCAATTCCCTACTTGTTATTTCTCTGCTAAGGCTTATCTAAACTTGCGCCAGTTTAAACAAACTAGTTTAATTAATGCAGTTTATATAAACTGGTGAAAACTCCTATGAGGGCACAAGTATATTGGTTTAAAACTGTTTACATCAGTTTGGCTTGCCCTGCAAATTTATGAGAGCAACCACGCCACTATAAGCCAGGTTTAAATTGATTTAAAAGTTTCAACGCCCAAAGTTTCACCAATTTAACTAGACTGGCTTAAAAAAATCACACTTTTAGTTAAACCGATTCAATGTTATGTGTAAACAGACTAACCCCTTCTTAATTATACAGTAATATAGGGAGGGACAAATGTGACAGCTTTGGACAGGAGTAAAGGACACATTAACTCCTTACTCTTGTATGTTTCAGCTCCTCATTGGCCATCCCTATCCTTATTAATACAACCATGGCTGGCATAGAAGAGGATGCAGAAGGACTCTGTATCCAGAGTCAAGACACATGAAGATACCTGGCATAACAGGAAACTGATTGAAATAAGATCTCCACGCTTAAGATATGATCTGAAAATTATGCTCCTCTCCCTGCAGAGAAGCTACCAGGATTGCTGCAAGGAGGAGAGGTTATGCGCATGATTCAGGGTTACAGATGGTGGTGTTTTCTCCCACATGTCAACTGATGGGGTAGAACAGTGGTGGGAGGGTTGTTTGTCTGCAATGGACCCATCCATGTGAGTTATAGCTTTGTTTTGTACTTCACAGGTGACATAAGCCAGGATTAAGCTCATCATGCTTTTTAGTAAGTGAAAATTCAATATGATTATTTTTACTGGTTATATTTGTTTCTGTGTATGAGTTTTCTATTAGTAATTGTGCTTTAATTGCTCCAATATTTGAAAATAATGACTCGTAAATAGTTAATCCATACCATCAAATTAAATCTAAAACACCTTCCAAATTGGCAAATGATCTAAAATTAGTTATGAACCAATCTTGTCCAATAACCTGCTATAACTAAGTGCAGACTATCTAGGTAAGGTAGGTGTCTGATAAAATAAAGGGAACAAATATATACACTCCCTTCTGATAAAAGGAGTTTAACTTGTGGCTTTTTGTCACAAACTATGTAAGCTTTTTATGTCACATGACGTGATATAGAATGATACCTGCCAGTCTAAGCTGACAACTTCAAAATACCCTCCTCCATAAATATCAGTTGTAGGATGTGTCATATAGAGATCGCTCTGATACAGAACAGCAGTATTTTTTCAAAAACTGAAAATATTATCCCTGCTTTCAGTCAGTTTTAACTACAATCATAACCTCTTTTTTTTTTCATAAGGCCATTGATATTTGACTTTTTCAAGCAAAAGGGGGCAGGAATCTTTCCAGGCCATCCCAGCTCAAACAAGCAAGTAGTTATTGTAAAGGGTTGTCTGATGCATGTACTTCACATAATTCTATATAATTTACTGGAATTTGATGTCTGAGCCAGTGTATATTCTCATGAATTTATATACACGAAGTTTTATTTTTCCCTCATGATTTTCTGGTGGCTATGTGCAACTGAAAACCACTATACACATAGGCAATATCCCCCACTTATCAAAAACATATTTATTAGACTCTCACAGTAGCAACACTACAGTTCAGGAGAAGGTGGCATCCCCTTCTAAACACTATATTCAATCATTCATAAATTTCTCAAAAGATATTCCTTCAGGGCAGAAATCGCTCATTACTGATTGGAAAGATTGATTTTTAAGTTCAGACTAAACTATATAGTTATTTTTGAGTTTTAGGGAAATAAAAAAATGCATCCTACTTTTTTCCTTTACGAATATTGTTCAGTAGATATTTTCACTTGGATCGGTCAAAAAATATTTTTGCTTTGAAACTTTAAATTTGGCACATACATACTGGAGTCTTGTGAAGAATTGGTTAATTCAGGCAGAGTGAAGAGGTCTTAAAGTTGGGGCTAATTACATTTGTACTCACTGTATACCACTCTTGCAGGGAAAAGGGACCTTAAAGTGGCCTTAGGCCTGGTCTACACTACAATTTTAGGTCGAATTTAGCAGCATTACCTCGATTTAAGCCTGGACCCGTCCACACGACGAAGCCTTTTTTTTTACTTAAAGAGCTCTTTAAATCGATTTCTTTACTCCACTTCCAACGAGGGGATTAGCGCTGAAATTGGCCTTGCCGGGTCGAATTTGGGGTAGTGTGGACGCAATTCGACGGTATTGGCCTCCGGGAGCTATCCCAGAGTGCTCCATTGTGACCGCTCTGGACAGCGCTCTCAACTCAGATATACTGGCAAGGTAGACAGGAAAAGGCCCGCGAACTATTGAATCTCATTTCCTGTTTGGTCAGCGTGGCAAGGTGCAGGTGAGTGCAGATCTCATCAGCAGAGGTGACCATGATGGAGTCCCAGGATCGCAAAAGAGCTCCAGCATGGACTGAACGGGAGGTACAGGATCTGCTCGCCATATGGGGAGACGAATCCGTGCTAGCTGAACTCGTTGCAGTAAACGAAATGCCAAAACATTAGAAAAAGTCTCAAAGGGCATGAAGGACAGAGGCCATAACAGGGACGCACAGCAGTGCCGGATGAAAATTAAGGAGCTAAGGCAAGCCTACCACACAACCAGAGAGGCAAACGGAAGGTCCAGGGCAGAGTCGCAGACATGCTGCTTCTACGCTGGGCTGCATCCCATGCTAGGGGGTGCAGCCACCACTACCCCAACCCTGTGCTTTGACTCCGTCAATGGAGAATCACGCCACACAGAAGCAGGTTTTGGGGACGAGGAAGATGATGATGAAGAGATTGAAGATAGCTCACAGCAAGGAAGCGGAGAAACCGGTTTCCCCAACAGCCAGGATACGTTTTTCACCCTGGACCTGGAGCCAGTAACCCCCGAACCCACCCAAGGCATGCTCCCGGACCCTGAGGGCAGGCAAGGGACCTTTGTTGAGTGTACCTTTGTAAATATTACACTTGGTTTAAAAGAAAGCGTGTTTAATGATTAATTTGCCCTGGCATTCGCGGCCAGTTCAGCTACTGGAAAAGTCTGTTAACGTGTATGGGGATGGAGCGGAAATCCTCCAGGGACATCTCCATAAAGCTCTTCTGGATGTACTCCCAAAGCCTTTTGCAAAAAGTTTCTGGGGAGGGCTGCCTTATTCCGTCCGCCATGGTAGGACATTTTATACCAGGCCAGTAGCTCGTAGTCTGGAATCATTGTATAACAAAGCATGGCAGCGTATGGGCCCAGTGTTTGCTGGCATTCAGACAACATCCATTCCTTATCTCTCTGTGTTATCCTCAGGAGAGTGATATCATTCATGGTCACCTGGTTGAAATAGGGTGCTTTTATTAAGGGG